GTTTTTTCGCCTGCTTTCAGATTACACAAATATCGTGACTGTACAAAACATGTTTAGAAACGAGAGACTGGCATAATCTGTGCATAGAGACAAACATCACTTCAAAATTCCTGGATAATTAGCGTTCTTTTGATTTTTTTTTTTTTTTTCAAAGGCATGTGCTTTGAGAAATGAACAGGTAAGCAGACCAGCTGGTTTTGCTCTTTCAATGGTAAAAAGATGCATGTGACTGGATTTTATGATCCTGTATGATACAATCGCTTGAATCAATAGCACTGACAGTTTAATACTATACAAATGTCAACATTTTATTTTGTTTCTCTTTCTTTCCCAAGACGTAAATGCCATCAGAAAGCAGAAATACTGTACGCCCCGAGCAGATTCTATACGCTAACATGGAAGAAGTTAGAACCGAAGGGGCTAGCGACAAGTACACGGATGACGAGAACAGTGATGCATTCTCAGAGTTTCAGGGAGCTATATTGTGGCCGAGGAGGTGAGCTGTCTATTCCACTATATACATGTCTAAGTAGCCACGGTGGCATGCGCTTGCCTGTCAGTGGTTATGTAGACTGAATCCTAAGCAGAGACAAGTTTGTTTCTCTGACCAGTGCCCAACTGGGACTAATCTATCTTAATAGAACAGAGCAGTAATTGATTTTTACTATCTAATATTAAATAGTTTTAACCAACTTCATATGGGAGTTGCCAGTGAAGTACTTTAATGCGGCTGCTGCATGAGAGGACTGAGCATGCATGAGAACAACCAATGTGCAATAACGGTGATCTTAATTTTTATTGTCCACTTGTGCCAATGTATGTCCCACAGGGCTTGTTGTATATTCACCTATTCTGTTCAGTGCTTTCGATATCATGAAGGGAATTCAATCCAGCACTTTCGGCTTTTCTCACCAACATTCGTTTCGTGGTATTGTTTATTTTTTTTTTTTTTTTTGCATTTTATTATCTTTTGCTGATTCTATTTTCATTTGTTTTTCAGGACATGTCCAATATAGCACCATCTTCTTTGTCGTATAAATGTTACTACTATTAGTGGCCTAGAGATTTCTTTTCTTTCTTAACCCTTCTTCATTTTATGTTCAGTATTTTCAAATGCATTTAATTTTTTTTGTTCCATATCTTTAGTAGTTCTCTAGCTTTCACTGGCATATGTTAGAGTTTAAATCACATTATATCTGAAAATAGATAACTTGGTTTTAAAACTATACAATTTACAGTTTCACTTATCTTGTCCCCATGTGGGGTGCAATTTTTAATTTTTTTGAAGCTCCACCCTGGCTCTTGTCAGGGCCCTAAATATAGCCGGGCCTTAAATATGGCTAACGGCTGAACTAGGTTTGCAGGACCTCTCGAACGGGTGATCGTCATCCGCATGGTGGCACTTTGTGTCACCGGGTGTTAATCGCTTGTGTGATGTCCTGGTGGGGTACAACTTACCTACCTACCTAAAATTCCATATGTGTTCAGGCTTTTAATAGATGCCATTGCCTTGCTAGTGCCTTTCATTCATTTATTTTCTTTATCTCATTGACTATAACAATTGCTGCCTAAATAATTAAATATATGTTAATTGTTGTGCGTTTTTAATGTTACATCTGCTTGATCGTAACAACATAACATTATTCACATTCTTGAGTATGTGTGAAATACAGAATAAAAAGAAATACACAATTGAAAATATTTAAAGCGAAGAAAAAATGTAAATAAAATAAAAAAAAGACTACAAATAAGGATATTAAAAAAAAAAAGAGAAAATGATAAATATTGATGATCTAAAGTTACGTGGTGTAAAAAATACATGTCTAAGTCTAAAGCCTGGGGATTTGGGGCAAATTGACAAGTGTAGTAGCAACGGACTTATTTTGTGTGTGCCTTGTTATAAACAAAAATCTACCACTTTACCAAGGATTTGAATCTGTGTCTCCCGAATGACAGTACAGCATTCTTAAACACTTAACCAGCACTTCGCACCCAGGGAAAAAAGCCCACTTTAAAAAAGTAAAACAGAGTCAGTAAAACTTGAAATTTCTCCTGCTTCATTAAGGCCTAGAGTTCGACTTGAGTATAAAGACAGAATCAATCACAGATCTCATCCCCTGATCAGACTCCCTAAGCTGCAGTCTGTCTCTTCGACATTCCTGTTTGATTGGCCCCTGTCAGGTCTGATTACACTTGTCGCAGAACTCTTGTGAGACAGCATACTCCAGTACTGAAAGGCTGGAGTACCACGTCATCTTTCTCTTTACTTTGTCTATTGATTGTTCATGTTTTCCTGGCTCTTCTGGTCTCGTGACCCTATTTTAGAATCTCCTAATTTGCATGAAAGTGTCGGTTTCAGAGAGTGAACTATTATTAGGGTCCTCTCTCCCCCCCCCCCTCCTCTTTTTACCCAGGAAGTCAGAGTTAGATCTAGTAAAGGAAAGTTAGAAATAGGGTTGAGAAGATTAATTTTCTTTATTTTTGTCGCTGCCCTAAAAAACATGATTTTCACCTACAGATGTCGCTTACACAAGGCTGCTGTTTCTGAATTTGTTTTCGGTCCAATCCATCCGATTTTAGCAAACATTTTGTTGGTCACATTTTTCGGCATGGGTAGAACTATTCCTTTTCCAAAACCTACATAGTGAGTTTATTTGGAACACGGCAGAGATGTGGAACAAATACCTTGGACAGATTTAAAAAAAAAAAGTAATGACGATGTTTTGAAAGAAACTGACTCACGAAGAGAACTAATTGCCCAATATAGTGGAGACAGTCTGGGTTATTTGATCATGGCCTGAGAAGAAGAAAAGTGCGTTACGTCGTGACGGTGAGAACGATTGAGAGAAAAAAATAGACCTGGGCTGTCATGACATAGAAGATCATGTGTCAGAACTGACTGAAAATACATGAAACAGATGGTTGTGGATGTCGAGACAACTGCCAATGCCACACAATGTGACCGTGAAACATACACGGGGAAAATTACAACAGGACAACCAAACTGGGAAACCGCTGCCCGTGAGAGCTATACGAAACAGTATATGATGCAATCTTGTTAAGGGTAAAGACGAAGGTTTTGTTCTTCTCTTTCTCCAGTTACCTTCAACTAAGTGCGTGGAGGAGATGGATGGGCTTTTCTCTGTACAATTTCTAATTCCTTGTACAATTTGATCTTTATTTATTCAGGCTATTTTGATGCCGTCGTTCAGACTATAACATGGTCTTGGCCTGGTTCTGTGTTTATTAGTAAAATCTTGGTAACACGAACTCGCTTAGGACTAGCACTCGGTAAACATGAACCAAATGTTGGTGCTAGCAGAGATTATTCATCCATTAATCCCTAGTTAGCACTCAGTTTTTAACATGAACATTTAATTTTGACTTCCTTGGAATTCTTCTTAACGAGGCATTATTGTATTTCTTTAGTATAGATTAACGTATCAGTTGGTATCAGGGTATTATCGCCAGATACGAAACGAAGGTTAGAGTTAGTTGCGTATCCTTTACAGGACGTTGCAGAACCAACCCCAGCATGTTTTCACAGTTGTGGTTTTTCTGATCAGATGTTACGTTCAGTAGTTTGCCATTGCCTCCTAACGGTCAGCTCTCGGTGCCACTGTCAATACCCAAAAAAAAAAAAAAAAACCGTCTGCAGCTGGGACCAAACCCGGCACATCGGCATTTCGTGGCTTGTTCGCAACGCTTAAGCCAAAGACGCCGCTGTGGAACGAAGGTACCTGTAATCATCTGTAACAAGTTTGAACATGAATAATGGAATGCGTTTGCTACACACAGAAATCAGTTTATGGCATAATACAACGGGAAAAATCGGCTCTACTGTGGCATCTACAGTAAACCACACACACACACGCACCCGCACACGTACGCACACAGACAGACAGATACAGATACAGACAGACAGACAGACAGACAGACAGACAGACAGACAGACAGACAGACAGACAGACAGACAGACAGACAGACAGACAGACAGACAGACAGACAGACAGACAGACAGACACAGACAGACACAGACAGACACAGACAGACACAGACAGACAGACACAGACAGACAGACAGACAGACAGACAGACACAGACAGACACAGACAGACAGACACAGACAGACAGACAGACACAGACAGACAGACACAGACAGACAGACACAGACAGACAGACACAGACAGACAGACACACACAGACAGACACACAGACAGACAGACACACACACACAGAGACATACACAGACACACATAGACACAGACACAGACACACACACGCAAAGACACACAGAGACACACAGAGACACACACACACATACACACACACACACATATATATATACATATGAAAAATACTAGAATGGCAACAATATATCTTGCAGAGGAACAGCATAAATAATGCCGGAAGTTTTTGAAATATAAGAAAAAGATAGCGCTGGATACGAGGACCCAATTTGTTCTGATTGATGACGGCATTTTCAGGCAGACGCTGCAGGGAGACAATGTTTTATCAAATCATAAACTGTCAGGACCCCCCCCCCCCTCTCCCCCTCCCCTCCCCCCCCCCATTTGTCTACCCTCTTTAAAACAAAAATTGATATGTCGAGATTTAAACCGAAAAAAAAAAACCAGCCAAACTCTTTTAAATACGTTACAGACATATTAGTGGTAGTTTTCTTTTCGTTTTCTTGTCTGACAAGTATCAGATCTTAACATATTCAATATCGTATGCTGTTGCACCACACAGTACTTTCAACAACAACAACAACAACAACAACAACAAAAAACCGTAACATGCCAGATATCAAATCTAAACATATTAACATATTACAAAATATGTTGCTAAATCCCTCTGCACATTCTATAGAAAAATAACAAAATGTTAGCCCTTATGTTGATCATGTGTTATTTCAGATCTCTACTATACCGTATTAGCTTTCTGGCGTTGCTGCCCTTGTTTGGTATCTTTCTCATGGGATTTATCAGTCCGTTTTGGATGAAGAAACACCAGGTATGTACAGCTATTGTTATCTTAATGTACACTATAAAAGTGCAAAATAAAGCACGCACACACACACATACACACACATATATATATACATATGAATCGCCCTCCCTCCCGCTCTGCTGTTGGGATAGCTTCGCTGCGGTTCGACATCAAATGATTCAAGGAGCCACTTGTATGGATAATAAACTAACAGGTCTAAACGACGGATCAAAATCATGGCACACGGGAGTAACCCATAAGTGCTCCGTTCTACTTATTACTCAAGTCTGAGTCCGAAGAAAATTAGTGCAGTGCACAAAATCCGTAGCGCCGTCGACGATCCTGAAATTCTTCGGATAGATTTTAATTCCAAATCTTTGCTTGGGCAGAACGGCTAGGCTACTGTTTTTTTAACTGCATTTCACGCATTGCACTCACTCCGTAGCACCAGCTAGGTTCCTCAAATACTTTGAGTAGATTTTTAACTCCAAATTTTGCTCGGGCAGCACCGTTAGTCTTCTGTTTTCGATTTCCAACTGCCGAGATATTTTTTGTTTACGTGCGCAACAATACACACGGGTGTCCGATCTTACTTGAATCTAGGACCTCCAGCGACCGAGGCGGACGCCATACCTCGAAACCACGCCCCCCCCCCCCCCAATCAACAGTTAATAGAAAGAAAAAAAAAACAGATGTAAGAAACAGATATCTCAACTGTATAGAACGGGTTTTCTAGGTCACCTTACGTATAAATATTCTGGTATCAATTGTGGCTGGAAGAGCTACTAACGCTTATACCGAAACAACAAACTGAGAATCTACATTCTAAAATAAAAATAAAATAATAAAATATCATACATTTCACAGTCTAATAAACGCAGCAAGAGAATCCCGAAGTAAGGAATGACCCCGGTCAGACCTGCCCCAGAAAGTGGTTAGGGGGTGAGCGGCTGAAACACTTGTTGAAAGTGGACCTCCAATGATGATCACTAGACTGCTGTTGTGTATGCTCCCACCGTGGAGTACTTTCTTCTAAAATAATAACATGTCTGATATTTCAGGTGTAGGTTGTACATGTCTGTTAGAGTAGGGGATGAATCCTTAACTGGGCCGGGTTGCAAGGTACACCAGGGTAGTAAAATAAACCGCTAAAGGTCTTAGAAAAGTGAATCGGGTGTGTTGACTTTGCCATCCACGATGTCAGTCTTTGAATCGCAGCATGGTAGAAATCTTCAGGCATCAGCCTGAAAGGTAAACCAGACAACGAAGTGGGATTCGACAGTAAAGTAAACCATCTTTAACATTCTGAAACATAAATAGTCGGTAAAGAAACCCTTCACAGGCAGTAATCTGTAAACGTTCACATTTTTTTGTATCAGACGCATCGAAGTCAATATCATAAGTGTTGTTTAGGTTCCCCTGTGCAGCTTATTTAACAATAAAAATCACCGCAGATAAAATTGGAAATCAGTCGCGTTTACATGACAAGTTCTAGCATTTCACATCCAAGGAGAGCGGCGGAGAACTTTCTCAGTTATACATGACAAAAAGTAGTCCAAAATAGGAAAGGCTGGATATCAATTGTTGTAGTTCAATATTTCGCAAGCAACATAAACCTTTGTTTATGATTAGATGAGGTGGGAATCAGCCGATACAGATAATGATGTGTGGTATGAACGGTCAATGGCATCATTAGGTCAACTATGCAAACCTCAAAATAGAGCTTTTGTGAATTTGCAGACTTTTCCCACAATTATTTTGTCAACACACGCTAGACATTTTACAAATATGTTCAGCCTTATTTACCACTTCTGGTTATAAATGAGATGAACAACGTAAACAATTATTACTTTATATAGAATGTTCTATTTTGGTTCTATTTACGTCTTTTGAGCAAGTTATTGAAAGTTAATCTTTTGTATACTGTTGTTTCCAGTATGACCCGCT